TTACATAGAGTCAGATTAAATCAAGGCTGTTAAACTGATCATAAATGTAGAAACAGTTTAATCAAATGGAGCCAGTCAGTCATTTCACTATTTATTTAGCTGGTTGTAACATTTCTGAACCATTATTAGCCCGGAGGTGGAAGGCACTTTCTGTTCCTCTTTTACAAACCGACAATTATCAAAGTTCCTCTTTTCCTCAGTTGTAAATCACGGAATTATCTGTTCTTCTCTTAGGGGGAAAACGTAAAGTAGATTTTGCACAGCACCTCTAAAAAAAACTACACTGTTTAATTACCAAATGTGACAACCTAGTGGGTAGAGGATAAAGACAGAACTTTATATTGATTGTAGGCAGAACATCAGAAAAGCTTTTGATTTCTCTCAGCTGCTTTGCTCTGGGTCATTATTTTGTTTCCATTTCTGTACTTATAGACGTCATTTGGATTTTATAAAGAAACAGTTCCCCACTGAAACTGGATGCACCATGGGGACATTTAATGAGGCATCATGACTTTGTTATGCCACACAGTCTGACTGTGGCACACTTGCACTGGACTGAATATGGTGGAATAACAGGCTCCCTCGTGAATTCTGTGCACAAAACCAGCGAGCACTGAAGGAGACCTCAGCTGTGTTCAAGCAAACAAGTTACACCAAAAAACAAACAAGAAATTAGGTGGCCTGTTTCATATTTTATTTCTTTTTGGGGAAGTGCTTTCACACACATGTTTCAGTGATTCTAAATGTAATATTTTAAGCGCTACCCTAAGCAGTATATCGCACAGCTCAACAACTCTGTGAAATAATTTAAAGAAAACTGAAGCCCTGTGAGCAAAACTATTTTAATTGCTCTCTTACTGATCCACTTGGCAAAGTTAAATTTTTACTGGCAGCCTGCTGTAGAAAAACCAAAGAATGGACAAATAGCAGCCAAGCGTGGACCCAGTTGCTGACGCTGCAGGACTGAAGGCAGGTAGTATTATTAAAGGATCTTTAATATGAAGTTAGGGTTTAACAGGAAGAAATGCACTGAGCTGACAGAAATCACAAAATCCAAAAGGGTAACTAGAGCCGGGGTATTTCCAGATTTCTTTTTCTTTATGTGTGCTATGAGGAATCTCAACTAAAATACATCATTTTGTATGAGAACCTATGCATTCACCTGTAACAAGAGGCTCATCTATTTTCACTCTGATGTGTGCATCAGCTACAAAACGTAGCATGCCAAGCATGACTTTAGCTTTTTTAAAGGATTCTCTTTTAAAGGGTAGTGTACAGTATTTAAATTGATCGTATTAGTAGGAGGAACAGCAAGGTGAGTGAACAAACAAAAAGTGCAGGCAGAGATAGAGCCAAAAACTGTTCATTCAAAGACGCAGGCGATGGCCATCACACTGACTCACTTCCTGCTTTGCTCCAGTGAAGGTGGACATGACCACCCACAGAGCACGGGCCAAACAGCCACAAACACAGGACAGCTGTCTCAACTGCTGTTTGGCACCTTATCAAACTGTTTTCAGCCACCTGTAGTTTTGGTAGTGGGAGGCTGATCTGTACTGTTGCATCAGTCAGGCCCCACCAATCTGATTATGTTTGTCTCTGAACACACCGAGCCGTCTTATAATTCTCAGCATTTTGTGTTCGTAAAAAAGAACATTTGTCATTCTAGTAGCATAAAATATATAATAAACAAAAAATAAAAATGTTTTTTCATTTTGTTAGTTGTTCATATGAAATGTGGCCATAGTGTCAAATAATTAGGTCAGCGTGTAGAGAAGGTTTCACTATGAGCCAAAAACCCAAAACTTTTTTTCTTCTACGTTTTAGTCTGTGTGATGTCAATATTATGGTGGCCCTGAGGGGTCAGGTACAATGCAACTTAAGAAATCCCAAATAAAAAAATGTTGCAGAAGCACAAAGTGCAGAAGTGACCAAAAGAAATGAAAACATGTGAAGGAGACACAGTTAAAAGAACTGGAGGATTCTTTAGCGTAGTGAGGGAGAAAAGGATGCAGGTAATGTGTGTTTATATCACAATTCATGCAATACTGTAGTTGCATGTTTGCCATTAGCTCTTTACTGTAAGCATGTAACTTGTGCAGCTGGTCTTATTGTCACAAAGAAACACTTCATCTGTTTTTTTCTTTTTACATGGTGTTTTGTTCTTTTCTTTTCTTAAGTTGCAGCTTTTTTGACCTCTCAGGGCCACAGCTACACCCATCTGCTGTTTTCAAATTCAAATTCAAATTTTATTTGTCACACACACACAACCATACACAGTATGACATGGGGGTGAAATGCTTGTAGCTGTACAATGCCCGACCATTAAATGACAGTGGTTTTACAGTATTTGTTTCAGAGTTACGATGGTTTGACATTTTCTAATTAGCTAAAAAGCAGCTGACTTACAGTCTCAATAAATACGTCTGTCAAAGCCTCATCAGGCGAGTTTCGATAACTAAAGACTAAAAGTACAAAGTATATTTCCTCTTTATTGTTATGTTAGTTTAGTTTTTGCTTGTGAGGAGAAGCCAATCAGAAGAAAGGGAGAAGATCCAAAATGGCTTGTTTCAGACAGGAGATGAACTGTGAGGCTGTAGCATGAGATAAATGCTTGTAGCTGATATAGACATTTAGCCTAAAATATATTCAGTCTTTTTCTTGTTGTAGTGGAAAAGTATTCATGAGGACAATCCAACGACCCTTCCATGAGTATTCTTAAATCTGACAGATGAAGTTAAGGTGAAGGTGAAGTTAAAACTACAACATCCCAAAGATTATAGCATATTAGACGCATCACCTCATGTCTATACCCTGCTCTCTGTTATGCAGGCTAAATAAACGTGGGCAGGGCGGGGGGAAACCAAGGTTAAAGCAAAATGTTAATCACAAAAGCAACATGAAACAGCTGTACTAAAAGATTTTGCTCACCCTGCTGTTTGATGTACTTCAACACTGCCTTTATTAAAACCACAGATCTCTGGAGGAAAGGGCTTACCAGGAATCCACAAGACAAAGCAATGCATACCGGGTCACTCTACAACCTTCTCTTTACTTTGATCATTTCAATACAGCTATTAGGAAACAAATTCATAAGAAGCAGATTTTACTGAAGTGTCCTTGCGCAAGATACTGAACCCTGAGTTACTCCCGTTCCTCCAGTTGGACAGAAAGCACTTAGATGTATTTTTTTTTAAAGCACTTGTATGAATGAGACGTTTTTTATTATAAAGTCCTCAAGTAGAGCAGAAACGGTGTGTTTAAGAACCGGTCTATCTAGCATTAGTTGTCGAGTTACTTACGTTTGTGGACAGTCAGATGGTGTGTGGCTTTAAACTGTGTGATGATATTATCTCCTTTTCTCTTTAGAAAGGATGCTCCAGTATCATCTGATAAAGGAGGTAATGGAGGAAGCACTGAAACACCTTTCATTAGTAAAAGAATTTAACACAGTCTCTTTGAAGCTGCTGTGCAGATACGTCCAGGTCACTTCACTCAGTCAGGAAGCTTTCTAAGTAAAACTGCCCGTTAAACCATAACGCCAGTATAAGATTAACTAAAGGGTTATTTTGCCCTGTAAATTTCTAACTCTGGACTGAGCATAATAGACCTCCTTTGAACCCATGGTAGTCGACTGGAGCAGGCTGTGAACCCCAAAGGGTAACCTCCAGAGCTGGAAAATGAGGGATTGATAACAACTGCAGTACCTTTAGGTTTCACTTGAGGCTGTCTGCAAAAAGAAGTCGATCCACACAGAGACTCCAGTGTTAAAAATCTTCAACTTTACAGTGTTCAAGAGCATTTTCACAGCCTGCTACAAAACACAGGCTGCGTGCCGACTAAATTGCATCAGTCCTACTGAATACTGATTCATACCAAAGTTTCCATACCAGAGCACATCTGGGTTAGAGGAACAATGAGCCCAAGGGCATGTAGTGACAGTCCTGCCATGACAAACACTCAGGGCAGCTGTGACAGCGGCTAGCTGAAAGCAGTCTCACATGTGGCAACTTGTCAAAACTTGTGGCAACTTGTGATCTCTGCATTTCCATCATTTGTACGATGCAAAGCTGGCTATGGTAACACATCTAATTTGGGAAAATAGCAAATCAAACATAAAATACATCTGAAAGCTGAAGAGCTGTAGAGTATGTGTTAGCCTGAAAGCCAAATTCACCACAGGACGTTTAGCATGCTCTTCTCCAACCCATGGGTGATGATGATGAACCTGACTGACCATCTCTGGAGAGGGATTTGAAAATGGGTGTGCACTGAAGCTCCCCATCAAAGAATGGGAGAAAGTGCCCAAAAATATGTGTGCCAAGATTGTAGCATCATACTCAAAAGACCTGAGACTGTAATTGCTGCCAAAGGTGCTTCCCAAGTATTGGGGAAAGGCTTGGATTCTGGCGCACATGTTATAATTTTTGCATCTTACATTTAATAAATTAGAGCAGCACTGTGGTGGAGTGGTTTGCGGTATTCCAGCTTCCTCCCAAGAACATGCACGAATTGACCACGAGTGCAAATGGTTGTCTGTCTCACTGTGTTAGCGCTCTGGGATGGGTTCCAGCAGCACTGATAAGGACAGGACGATGGCTAAATTTGAAAGAATTTAAAGCCAACCTTTATTAGTTTGTTGTTACAGGGTATTGTGTGTAGAAATTTGAGGTGAAAAATAAATTTAATCTTAGAACAAGTGAATGAATGTTGCATTTTCTGGATGCAATGATAAATTAGCATTCCACCCATCCACATGGAAGCCTTTCAGTAACCGGTCTTTAAATTTTTTTTAAAAATAATACATTTTTGTATCTTACATCCTTTGTATTGCAGGCTCTGCACTCGTCTTGTGTTACATAAACTTTAAACATTTAACTGCATTTAATTTTATATTGCTGGATGATGATACTGATAATTCTGGCATGTATGGAATATTTTCACTTTCCACCCAACAAGCAGACAGCACTGTTTGCACAGACACAACACAGCTGCAGATGTAAATAAAGACCGGTTTTGTTTATTGACGCATAAAACATCCTTCAAACAATAAACCCATTTCAATGTAAGGTCTCTGTACAATGCTTACTAAGCAGTTTTATTCATATAGAAAACGTTATGAGGGGCCCTGCTTTAAAAAAAATCACAAGGCTCCTTCAAATTTAATGGCAGGTACTCTGGGAAAAAAAAGTACAGCATTCCATCAACAAATATTTTTCAGGCAATAAATAGGCATTTATAAATAGTGTAATTTACAACCAAATACAAAAAGAAAACATCACAAATTTAAGTTCACTCTTTCAACTATGTGCAACCCTTTTTCTTTGTGACATGGCCTACAACTCATTTCCTCTCCCTCAACCCAAAGGAACCAAAGTCTCATCATACTTGCAGCATAATCAAAAAAACTTAAGTGATTACAAAAAATCCAAAACAAACAAACGAAGGGAAATGTCTCAAAGAATCTGTCACTCAACGTTTCGCATTACAAAACAGTTTTTAACTCATGTTCCTGACCGAGGAGGTGTCTAACATACAAAAGACCCGCTATGCTAATGTACTTGTGTCATCGAGGGGAAGGAGGGAACAAAGCTCTTGTGAACTCACAAACAGAAGACAAAAATGGCGGGGAACAGGAAAACTATCGAGTCAGTAGTCTTTGCGTGATGATGTTGCCAGTTTAAACTTAATATGTACAAAATTTGACTTTTCCCCTCCTTTTGTGATTTTGTGTGGTTTTTGGGGTGAAGTCCGGCTGAGCCAGCAGTAGAACAGTCTGGTCGTGATGACAGGTGGCGCTACCGTTCACCCCCTCTAGTCCACTTGTTTGGGTGGGTGGGTGGGGGGGTTGGGGGTGGCACACCACTCTGGGCAGGTTGCATAGACACACAGCTTTCAGGCAGCTGCCTTATAGGATTAGCTACAGGGTGCAGTTGGGTGACTGCCGGCTTACTTCCTGAATATCAGAAGAAACAAACTTTAAAAAAAGAAAAAGAAAAAAAAAAAAAAAGAGAGAGCGAGAGAGAGAGAAAAGAAAAAACAAGGTTTCCGGAGAGTTTCTGATTTGTGGTACTAAAAGTCCTCAGAACGAGAGAATATCACCATCAAGAGGAGGAAGGCAGGGGACTCGCCTGTGGGGACAAAGAAGCACACACTGAAGCATTTCATGGTTCTCTGTGGCCCGCCCTGGTGGATTTGTGCCCGATACTTACAAGTGTGAACTGGTCATAAATCTGCATGAGGTCCTCTATCTTGTACTGCTCCAGCACCACAAAGTTGTCCAGGTTAGCGCTCCCCCTACGGGCACAGTCCTGGCAGTGCACCACGTATGTTTTCCTGCTGTTGCTCTCGCTGGTTACAAACAGCAGGTCAAACACTTCCACCTAGGTGCAAAATAGCAGGTGCACAAGCGTTACCAAAGTAGGAAAAGTGACGATCGAATGGCATGCCTGCAGCAGGAAGGAAAATACAAGTGAGCAGGGCTGCGCTTACTTCACAGATGCTGCAGTAGTGTGCTGGCTCGTTCTGGGTCCTCCCATGCCACACCAGTTCCTTCCCGGCAGCCAGTAGCAGCTCCCTCTGCATCTGACACTGCTTCAGAGTGCGCAACAAACAATACCTAAGAAACAGAAACACACCTGAGGTAAGATCACGGTAACATGCACACAAAACCAAGAATGAGATTATGAATCTACAGGCATTTACTTGATCATCTCATAAAGCTTGTGGTCTGAGACTTTAATGTTCCTGGCCATGTTCCATGAGAGGTGGATCATGGGAACGATGGATTTGACGCTCTGCAGTTTGTTCCACTCGTAGCGCTCCACCGCCAGCTTGTACTGATGGGCTGAAGAAAAAAGCACATATTTATGTTCATCTGTGCATGATTCAGTCATACAGCTGGCCCCGATGGGGAAGGAGCTTTCCTTTCCTAACCTGTAAGGGGTCCGACATTCCACGCGATGTTGTTGCACCAGCCGATGGCCTGAACCCAATGAACTGTGCCTGTATTAAGCCACACCAAGTCCCCGGGACGCTGGATGAAGCGGTAAACAGGCACATTGGTCTCGTACAAGTCCTCCAGGTTGGGCCACCAGGAGCCCATCAGGTAGTTAATGTTGTTCCTGTAAAATAAAGAAATATATCATCAGATACAATGAACCACTTTGAGCTTCACCTAACAGACTTCAAACGATCTTTTCTGTCCACGTACTTTTCACAGAATTCATTGATGACGCCCCAGTATGGCTCAGGCACAGCAAACCACTCGCAGTCCCCAGGACCAATATTAATATTGACGGAGCAGAAATTGTTGTTTTCTTGGTGACCTATGAAAAAGCACGATTACTCAGAGTGAGACAGAGTGAGACAAAAGACTGCACACACACTTGTGGTCACTGCGTTGATCTATACCTGGTGTCCTGCTCCCTGGCACCTTCATATAGAGCTGCACAGTATTCATGCCCAGGATTGTGTGACCTACGTGACTGAGCAGGTTACCAGCTGACACCACTCTGGCGAAGGCAGGCAACTTAGTCAGCTCCTGCAGCTGCTGCTTCCACCTGAAAGGGCAGAGGTCAATGAAACGAAGAAAAGGGACTAGTGCTTCATCTTTCTTCAACTGCAAATCGCTCTACACGTTTCATCGACTAAAATGAATGAGTCACTTACTTCTTGTCATCTGAGAGTTCGATGTTGGTGCCAAACTTGATGTGTTTGAACAGACCCTTCCTTCGCTTCACACTAAGAGCAAGAGCGTAAAAGGTCATTAATAACAGAAACAAGAGCTCGCAAAGCTTTCAAATCTACACAGAAAGACAGAGAAAGTTCACCCGTCTGAGGAACCCGCCTCCGCTTCCACCTCCTTTTTCTTCTCATTTTCTTCCTGTTAAAGAAAACATTTGGATTGGTAGATTTTTATAGGCTGGTAACATACTCAGCAACACGGTGAAAATATTTTCAATGTAACATGGGAGGTGGCTGATTTGTAACATAATACAAGGTCAGAGTTTTGTAGTGAAAATTAACAAACAAAACCAAGCATTTGATCCTGATTATCTTTTTACTTGAAAGCCAAAATAAGAACTTCAATTAAAATCTGACCCGCAGAGACTCCTGGAAGGACGATGCCTGGTACTGGGCGTATTTGATGATGGTGGTGTGTGAGCGGCTGCTCTCACAGCGCCACATCTTCCTGTTGCCGCTGGGATCCCAGTTCTCATCGGTGGGCTGAGCCAGCTGAGTCCGCACCTCCACTAAATGGTCTGGGTTAGCCTCCACCAGTGTCTTAGTGGAGAACAGGCCCAAGTCTGAGGATGAGGAAGCAAGGAAGAGTTTAGAACAGCTTTCATGCATCTTACACCTTTTTACACAAGTGTTAAAATAGATTTTAGCAAACCATCAATATGAACTTGTGACTTAAGGGGAACAGAGTGGAACACGTATGTTACATGAATTGGTTTTTGTTTTATTTTCTTTATTAATAACCTGAGGACAATCTGTTACATAATAGTTGGGGGGGAAAAAAGAGCTGATGGTAGTGATTTTTTTATATTATTTTTTGGTGCAAATCCAACTAGTTTTCTCCACAGGAAATGTGTGCAGTAACATTTTCAGCTTGCAGGTGGTGCTGTTGTCATACATGTCATACAAAGTCATCCACACAACATGCTCCCTCCTGTGATTTCAGAGACACACCCACAGAGCCATGTGAGACTGGGAAAGAAACATCGAGTCAGCCACACCAGCCGCACTTGCAACCCTCAACACGGAAAACACCTAATTTACAAAACTGTGCCATCCCATCCTCTTACCTAGTTTGAGTGCTCCAGCCAGTCCTCTGATGACAGTGACCGGGTTGGTGGGATTGGTGCAGAACTGATGAAGGGGGGGGAAGAAGGCATCCCTCTTGTTTTCTAGCTGTATGTCAGACAGGAAAACGTGAACTGACTCCAGGCTTACTGAGAGTATCAGTGCATTAAAAAGGAGCTTAGAGTGTTTGTACTTGTTAGCTGTAGCCAAGATACTGAGAATCAACAACATGATGAATACTTCTCCTTATATGGCACAGCTGTACTCACATAAATACTGGGTGTTGGGGGATTGAGTTTGTCCTTTGGCAGTGGAGGAGATGGCGCACGAGGAGGCCGTGGTGGGGGACACCTGTCCAAGAGGATGCTGCTGGTCGACAGGCCGTTCTTCCCCAGATTCCTGCAGGTAAAGAACACGAGATCATCACGCTGTGTATCGGCTTAGGTAGAAATCTGAAACATCAGTGCTTAGTGTGCCTCATTTTGTGAACTCGCCCTTCACTCTCCTTCCCTTTATAATGTCTTGATGCCTTCTCAATCATCCAGGAAAGAAAATCTCCAAAAAGTTGATTCTGTTCATCTGGACGTAGCGTTTTGTGGGAGAAATGTTTCGTCACTCATCCAAGTGACTTCTACTCAAGAAGAAAACCGAAGAAGTCACTTGGATGAGTGATGAAACGTTTCGTCCAGATGAACAGAATCAACTTTTTGGAGATTTACTTTCCTGGATGATTGAGAATGCAGCTCACTGAACTAATACAGCCAATCCCTCAACAAGTTTGTGCTCTCTGCTCATATTGCCTTCATGTTAAATGATTTTTTGCTTTTTAAAGAACTTACTTTAACATTGCACTCAACAACAAATAAATCCTCCCTAACAAAAAAAAAAAAAAAGTAACATCTTGGGCCAAATCCCCCGCAAGTAGGGGTGATGTGGGCTGCAAGTGGGCCCTGGGCCACAAGTTTGAGACCCCTAACATATACTAATATAGTGTTACCATCAACTGCTCATACACCTTTCATTCGTGCTTTGATGTTGCTTCTCTATCTGGAACCACTATTTCTAACTGCCCTGCTTTGTGACAGACACAAATCAATAAATCAGTCATAAAAAAAGAAAAAAAAGAAAAACAACTTTTGGTTTACGGTAATTTCACTAGAGGTTCATTGACCCTTCACATCACTGCATGTACATCTCTTTATTACAAGTCTGACAGCGCATCCCTCTCTCTGTGCCACCAGTTAGCATTAGCTTTTGGGTCTAATGACTTTTGTGCTGGAAACCCTGCAACTTATCTAACTGGAAGGCAAATGTATGATTTGTCTAAATTAGCTGCTTGTCATTCTGCTCTTAAATAAAACAAAACCCCCAAAAACACGATAAGGAGAGGGACCAACATGAGCGATGGCCTAACTCTGCATGACTTGAAGATTAAAGGCAAAAATGTCCTCCACATTTCTCTAAAGAAGGAAAGAGCGAGAAGAAACAAGTTTCTAGCACTGTGACAGTTACAAATCTATGTGGCTCACACAAACATTTAAGCACATGTACACGTCAGATCTCTGTCTGACATGAGTGCAGAGTGTGAATGATGCTGGGAGGGAGCTAAATGGTGTATAGTACGGGGTCAAAATATCAGGGCATTTTTAAATGTAGCAAAGAATCAAGGCATTCCTCGCTTTCACAACATGGTTTCATACATATGAATGTGTCTGCTGCATTAACCGACACGGTTTGTGTCTGTTACCCCAACCCTAACAGATAATGGGCAGGTGTTAGCAGTGAGCTGGAGAGGGCATTGCAGGTGTCTTTAGCTCTCGCTGTGTTTCAGTTTTAGATTTACACAATAATTTGTACTTATATAAACTTCTGTGACTAATTTATGGCAGGCTGAAAAGTTTGAAAAACTCAGAATTACACTTAAATCCAAAGCGGAGTAAAATGAATATTAATTTGGGCATGCACTATATTAACTCAGTGAATTCTATATGTGGTCTTAGCTTTACTGACTTCATACCTGCATGCTTTGAGCATTTCACTGGAGCTGGGGTAGATGGAAACTGAGGACCAGGGAGCCAGGCCAGCAGGGCCAGAATGTCTATGAGGCCCCCCACAAGGCTCCACCTTCATTGGGCTCTGGGAGTCCTCCAGCCCCTTTCCATTGAGCGTGGGCCCCTGACTGTTTGTACTGGACGGGCTGTTAAGGCAGGGGAGGCTGTTAATGGTGTGAGGGTCTGCTGAACATGGAGAGGGCATCGCAGTGGCAGAAAGTGGCGAGGATGCCACTGAGTGCTCTGAAACTGGCTTGGTGGCGCCATTGAGACCTGGATGGACATTGTTCATTTTCTCTGAGGAAGACCCTCCGTGGTTGCTGTAGTTATTGTTATTGTCGTTACTGGTAGTATTAGCTTTTCCCTTTATCAAGGCTGAGAGAGGATTGTCTGAACTGAGCACGCTGGGGGCAGGAGAGCTGGGCAGAGACGCGCTGGCAGAGCCGTCAGTCACCCGTGGCTGGATGTGATTAGTCAATCCCTGCGCAGGGGTGGTGCTGGGACTATGCGACGTCCCTCCGGAATGCCTGATGGCAGCCTCCTGACCTGATGGCAAAGCGGCAGCTGCAGCACTGCTGCCGGTGTTGCCCCCTGAAGGCGTGGTGTCTTTGGTGTGGACCCCTGAGGTAGTAGCGGAGTGGGGAGGTGAGGACAAGTGGTTGGGGGTTGTCTGAGGGGAAGTGGGGGATAAAGACGAGGCAGAGGAAGAGGCAGTGCAGGGCCCAGAGGAATGTCCAACCTGATTCAGAATGCCAGATGATGTGAACGAGGTCTGAGGGGAGGAGGAAGAAGAAAAAGGGGGTTCTCCATTAGGACCTGCCGAATGTGAACCTGGACCTTTTTGAAGCCCCTAGAGAGAGAGTGAGACATACTGATTAATAAATGGTGCATTCAATGAGCCAAAATAATTCACATGAAAAACATGCAGAAACAAAATAATGCAGAAAGTGACATGTGCAAACGGTCTACAAGTTCACCAATCTAATCAGTCATTCACATGGCAGCAACTCAAAGTATTTAGGTGTGTAGATGTGGTAAAGGTGACCTGTTGATGTTACAACCAACATGGACCAGAATGTCTGATGAATATTTCTTGCATCTTGCTAAATCTATGCCATTAAGAACTAAGGCAGTTCTAACAGCACAAGGAGGTCAAACCTGGTGCTAGTATGTACTCATTAAAGTGGCCAGTGAATGTGAATTGCTGTTGTGCAAAACAAAGCCATTTCAAAGCAGTCAACAGTGTACCTGAGTGGTAGTGTTGCGTTGTTGGCTCCTCCATGTCTCGTCTGCTTGACTGGGACTACTGGTAGTGCTGCTGGTGCTGGGTTGACTGGCGGCTTTGCAGTTGTGAGGTAGAGAGTTCTGCTGCGGGTAAGGCACGTTTCCGTTGCTTGCGCCGCCACCTCCCAGTCCCAGGTTGTGATTTTTGTCCAGGTGGCCAGGCAGCCCCGCTGAAGGACTTGTGGAACAGGATCCATTGGCTGTGGGCTGAGTGACACACGGGGACCGGGTGGCTGTGTGATTGAGAGGGGAGGTGCGAGAGAAGCCTGCGTGGTGGGGAGAGGGCCCAGCCAATTCGCCGTTGGGAAGGCTGGGCCTCGGTTGGCCACCTGCTGCTGCCTGCTGCCGAATCTGATACAGGGCAGAGAATGAGAAAAGAGTCACACTTAACACAAACTGTTCTGATCAGGAGTTTACACACACACTTAATGTGAACACGAAGGCTTAGGTTATGTTGAGCTGTTAATTGCTGCTGTAAGCTACTCATTTTCTTTCACATCATTCACATATAAGAAAAAAAGACACCTTCTTTCTCAAATGAGTGTTCTCATCAAAATGATGCTCATCAAAATCTAAGTGTCTCAACTGCCAAGGCCTGTGCACTTCCCTTTGGTGACCATGAAGGGCTGCAGCAGGTAGTATCATGAAAAGGATTTGTTTCACAGTGCTCACTCATACAGTGGGACTCAAAGCAGATCTCACAAAGAAGATGGTAGATTTACACAAGCCAATCACTTCTCTTGTAGTCAAATTTTAAATGTAATTAGATAAACCAGTGTTATAAGTACGTGGTACAAGTGTGTGGCCACTCCAACCAGAATTATGCCAAAACTTATTCATGAAGACCAAACTAAGAGGTTGAGAAATCACTGAAAGCCCAACAATGCCTTGACATTCATGTCCATCATAACTGTATGCAAAATATAAACCACCTACACATTAGCCAGTAGAAACTCACGTCACTAATAACCAAGGTAGCATGTGTGTACCTGCTGATGATGCTGCATGAGCGAGAACTGCTTCTCCAGCTGCTCCAGCATCTGCAACTGGTGGGGGTTGAGGTTTGCTCGGTTGGTCCGCAAGTGTTCCAGGTGCTGTACATTTCACAACAGTGTTGCATTAAAATTAGAAGATCACTTATTAAAGCTTACTACCAAATGCACAGGTAGCATTCCCCACACATATCTATTACTTGAGCAAGACACACATGTAGTTTTAATTAACACCCAAATATATTTGGTTTATTAACTTTAGCATTTTTTGTGTATTATTTTCATCTATTTTGTCATCAATTTTCCTTTTCTTATTTCTAAACTTCAGTCATGATGACAAGCTAGCTCTATCCCTTTCTGTGTTTTTGTGGTGGCAGTCTCTGACACCATTCGACCTTGTCTCATTGTATAATCTTCAATCCCACCACCTCGGACAACAGGTAGCAACGCCCTCAGCAATGACGCTGAGCAGAATTAACACTACATCTGCAGCTGTAATTCAAGACAATGGACTCAAAAGTCCAGCTGATTACATTATGCCAATATAAATTTGTCATTGAGTTTTGGCAATTAAAGTAGCTGCAGAGAAACACAACCTAATGGTATTTTTGTCATTTTACCCATACTATATGGGGATTCTGAGATTATTATCCTTAACGAAAACTAACCTAAAAAGTAAAATAAAAAACATATATGTTAAAATTTTAAATGACTGCTTCAGTTATTTTCATATAAAAGTGTTACAATCTTTAAAGAGTTTCTAGGTTTACACTTGAGTTCCATGTAAATACATAAATAAATGAGTAATTGGAATTTATAAATGAAACTGATGTCCAAGTACAATCCATGATCAGCTTTATGAATGTGATACAGATGGGAAGCATGGAGGATATAAAGAAAAATGACAAGACAGGATAAAAATGTTAAACATACAATACCACGAGCTGATATAAGTGGTTCTGTGAAATGCATATAAACCCCCAAAGCGACCTCTTTGAGTATGTCTCATTTTAGCTAATAAAAGTCAGATGTCAGATCAGACTTTACATTTTCTTCTAAATCAGAATCATGTGTAACAGTAATAAAGTTTGATTTGGCAATTTTTTTGTTTTGTTTTGTCTGTCTTGCATCCCCTATTGGGCTCCAACCTTGGATCTTTTGCATATTATGCAAATGTAAACCACTAAAATGTGAAGCCTCTGTGAAAAATAGTAATAATTACAAAATTAAGAAATGCATGTTCCTACCTGAAGCTTGATTTGCTGTTGATTGGTGGTGTTTCCCCACGAGTCTGCAGCACCCTGTAAAAGAGACACAAATATGTACCATGCACCATATTTTTAACTCTCCACCATTACACACAGTAGCATCCCTGGCTGTACCTTGGCTGGGCTGGCAGTGCGTTTCTTCTTAGCAGGACTGGCCTGCGGTTCTGCATGATTGCTGGCAGACTGGCCTCCCTCCCCTTTACAGGCCTAAAAATGCATCAAAGACAGTTTGTGACTACACACTGGACTATCAACAACAGTAAAGCTGCCCCCCCAAAAAAAGTGAGCTAAAATTTAAAAAAATGAGCCCTTAAACAAAAATATCCAAACTTTCCCCACACTGAGATCAAAGGACAGGGTCCATACTACACATTTACATGCAAAAACATTGAGCATTTAAACAATGCTTGTATGGCAATACTCTGATATCAAATATGGTTTACCTTAATCTAAATAACTGAGATGGATTAAGGTGGTAATCAGAGTATTCATACTGTGATTATTATGTGAAACAATGTGCTATTTGTTGCATTTAGGGCTGTAACTGGATATTTGATAATGAAACAGTTTTTGTTAGGTTCAGGATTCAGATATGAGGAAATAAAAAGCCTTAGTTTCTGTGCCTGACTTCCCACTCTCTCTCAGCAGTGATGATCATGTTTCACTTAACCCCAATGTTGCCAACACAGCGACTGCCACTAGAGTTCTGTGACTTTCAGATCTCTTTAGCCTTTTCCTTCCAAACAATGCCTGGCAAACAGTCTATAGCCAGCAGTCGAGTGCTTTGCATCGGCCTCTTGTTCACCTGGCACTGACACAGCTCTCTCTCCCTCTCTTTCAGAATCCAAAAAGTAAAGCAAGCTTGAAGTGGCTTAAATCTGCATTCTTTGTAATGGCGACGAGGGGTGATACCTGTGGTTGTGAAATGACTAGTCTATGGATAAACGGCCCTCGATCCTGATGGGTTTAAATGCTTTTCCCACGAGCTTATGGGCTTAGTCACTCATTTCAGGTCACACTGAGTAAAACAATTTTGGTCGTTTGACTAAAATCAGATTGCAGCCACTGTCTTTAATTCATGTGAATCCTTGATTATTCACAGTCTGTTACTAAAATCATATTGAGAGCATCCCTAGTTGCTTTACAGGAAAGTAGTTTGAACATCTCATATTCTGTTCATGTAAAGTCACTAATGCAGACAGGATATCACTTGGTTCACTCTGATCAATACTTAGAATCACTGAAAATGACCTCGTTATTGTTGTGGCACAGATGAAGCATGATGCAAATATGGTGATTTGAAGCCAAAATGAGGACTTAAGGATTTTACTAACAGACAAACAGAAAAAACAAGAAGGGTTAAAACTGATGTGACAGTGGTGGAGTTGAGCCTCAGTCTTTTTTTCCAAGTCAGTTGTGGCAATCAAAACTCGCGTATGCCATTCATGACAAACACAGGTCAAATCCATGCATTCGTACTACTCGATATGCTACGCTCATTAGACATGCATTTTCAGCATTTTCTGTTGCAATGTCTGCATAAGATTTGTGCATTTTTGTAAAAAAGATAAAAGCAGTGTGGCATGATGAGTTCTTTGTAGAAATCCTTAGTAATTCTAACACGTGCCTTTTGATGAGAGAGAGGCTATGAAGGGAAACTGCACTTTAGCAATTAAGATTATTGCAAAATGGGCCTCACTCCAGTTCTTTCATGCTGTTTATCTTTGGATCCATATTGAACACTGATGCTAGCCAGAATTTTGGAAAATGACTATGATGTAGTTAAATCCTCTAAAAGTATGAGGGCAAGGCTTAAACAATCCTCTTCAATTTACAGTTTAACTAGTTTATAAGAGACTGGAGTTTCCTTTATAAGCTGGATCTCACCTGCTGTGTCTGTGCAGTGTTCAGGGTCCCCTGCCTGGACGTGAGCTCAGCAGGAATGGGTAGGCTCCATGCCTCCTCAATACTAGGAAGCATTTTACTCTTATTCTGCAGACTACCTGGTTGTAGGTTACACAACTGAGCCTAGGAGAAATTGTGTAAGACACAAACTTTAGTGCTGAACTTGGGTTGGACAAAAAAAAAAAAGGTACTAGAAAAGTTACTGCTCGTGTACGTGCTGTGATCAAAAAATCTTCAAAGGAGCCCGTTTAAAAAAAACAGAAGAAGATAAAAACACTTTGGCTGGTTTTAATTTGGCTGATCTCTGCTTCAAAGTCACCTTTTTGTGGATGTCTGAAAAGCTTGTAGCTATTTGTAGGTAAGCGGAAGTCCCATTTTGACCACTTGCACTTGCTAGTAGTGTAGATTGTGACACAAGACTGTTTTCTGTAGCCAAAAAAAGTATTTCAATTTGTATCTGCACACAGCCAGATACATTTCTCTGGTGTTATAGTAGAACTCCACACCGAGAGTCTGACTCTGGTGGCCAAACTCAGGGGAACTTACTCAATACTAAAAAAAACTCACACGCCCACTCTGGTTTTACCTCTCCTGAGCTTTTGACATGTTATGAATTTTCAAGTGAAAACTGAAGCTGGCCCAGCACTCAAAACCACAGTTGGATCAGTTTACAACTTGATTGGTTGATGTTTGCCGTCTTTGCTTGAAGATCACAGGCGTGCAAGTGCAAGACGGGACTTCCAGAGAGCAATATTACAAATGCAGCCATGCTGAAAACATTCTGACCTCCACAAAAAGATGACCTTAAAGGAAAAATTACAAATTTGGTAAAGTTACATTTTCTTGGGGCAATTCTCAGATGTTTTTGATCACACCTTATATAGGTGATATACTAAAATGTTCAATGCCATGAAGGAATGCTTTACAATAAAGTGAGGGGAAAACGCCAAAACAAAATACCAATATGAATTATTATTCATATCTCTGTTACCAGAAATCAAAAGGACAAACACGCAGCCTGCAATTCAAAAAGCTGATTGCTTTGGCAATGTTTGGTACTTAACACGTCACTTTAATACACGCACACACCAAAATGCACAACACGTAACAAAGTGCGTTGGGTTTATGTAAAGGCCAGCTCTACCTGCAGCAGCTTGATACGTTGTGTGAGTGCAGCAGTATTGAGGCAGGCCTTGCTGCGAGTAGCGTTGATGTAGCACTTGATAGCGTCGTGCGGCTGGCCGCAGGATTCGTAGAGAGTGCCCAGATCCATCCAGGCGGCGGCGTGGCTGTGATCCAGTTGAACAGCACAGATGTAAGCCTGCAGTGCATCCATAGGCTGGTTCTGCTGCTGGTAAAGCACCCTGGACCCAGAGGCAAAGATAGGAAATTATTCTCTTGCCATCTTCCAGGATTTAGGTCATTATCCTCTTACAAACTCACAGTTCTCAGGGGACCTAATCTGTTCTTCATAATTCTAACAATAGATCCTTTCACACTTTTTCCATGTCCTCTATGCAGCTGCTGCTTCTCCACCAGCCATTTTGAGTCAGACCTAAAGAGCTTCACCTTCTTCGTTGTGACCTTAATCATACTTCTCAGCATAGCCAACACATGACAAATTTTGCTCTTACCCTATAGAGCACCAGGTGTCAGCACTGGCCTCCGATTTATCAATGGACTGCCGGTAAGAGATGAAGGCATCCTGCACCTTCCCAATACTGGAGTAGCACCTTGAGGAGAGGAGACAAAGAAAGAAATAAGGACCAAAGAACAGTTGAACTACAGGGAGAGCAGAATTATTAGGCAAGTTGTATTTTTGAGGAATAATGTTATTATTGAACAACAACCATGCTTTGATATTAATGAGTTTTTTGGGTTCATTGAGAACAATGAATCCAAAAAAACTCATTAAT